CACAGACCTAGTATTGGGTGCCAGCTTCCATGTGGTTCATCCACTCCAAAATCAATCAATACTAGGCAAGAAAGTAGCAGTACTCCAGAGTAAGGGCTCTTTTGCACTGTTGCAGTGCAGTTTGGCCTTTTTTAGACTTCTGTTAGATTGGGCATTTTTGTGTGTTTTCTGAAAGCACATCAAAGATGCAGCAAGCAGGACTTTTTGTGCGCTCCGAAGATGCAGCGCGCAGGACTCATGGTGTGCTTTCAGAAAAATGCACCAAAAACATTTGATCTAATAGACATCTATAGGAAAGCATGTGTAATCTGTACAAAAGCCTGCAGTGATGCTGCACTGCACCTGAGCTGCGGTGTGAAAGGTCCCATAAACGCCTCTCTTTATGATAGATAGATCCAGTGCAAAGAAGGACTGTTTGAACTCCTTTCAAGATTAATGAGCTTATGTCTAGAATAGAAGCTGCTACATAAGGGGATCTCGTTGCACTCACATCAGTTAATATATTAACAACATTATAGAGAACAACCCAGCTGGACTACATTCCTTCACACATAAAATGTATAAAGTATATCAAATTGTATCAAATAGATACAAAGATACAAAGTACAAAATAAACTCAATTATGGAATGAAGCCACTGCCTGGGCTGATTCACACCAAAGAAATGCAGTCTGGATGCATTTCTGTATGCGCGTATTGGATGCATTCTGGTGCATTATTTATACGTTCTGGTTCATTTTTTTCTCCTCTCTTTTCCTTCAACCTAAATAAGGACAAGTGTGTTCTGGTGCATTTTTTGATGCGTTTCAGTAAAGTTCAGTGCAGAAACAAATTAAGCATGTTCTACTTTTTTTTCTGGATCGGGAATGCACTGGAACTGACCACAAAGGTGTGAACTATGCAACTGAAAACCATGTAACCTACTATTAATGCATTTTTGATGCAGAAAAAAAAGCACACTGGACTGCATGTGGTGTGAACTGGCGCACAGTGTCCATGTGCACGGTGAATCTATATGCCAGGGATTTCATAATTATCAATCACCTGTTGCAGCTGCAGGACTCTAATGAGGAAAGTTGCAGGGTCTGCATCCCTTTAGACGTGATATTCCTTTGGGAGTATCTCACCAAAAATAAAATTTTTGTTGCAAAATCTGACTTGAATCTTAGTGCAGACTTACAAAAACAGTAAGCCAATCACACAAGTAGGAAATTACATTTTCAGGGGGCGTTCTATACACCATCTGTGTACAGAACACCTCCAGGTAAGCATATTGCATTGCATTTTACAGAAAATTACAGCACTGCAGATTGAAAGGGAAAAGTAATTTTTAATAACATTCATTTACAATGTGACTTGTGTGGCAATTGTATATGCTATATTATTTTTTTTTTATATTTGTTAGTTTTTTCTTGTGAAAGTGGAGTTACCAACTGGGCTGTTCTCTTGAATGTTGTTAATGTGTTAATAGAAGTGAGAACAAATGAGCTCCCCTCAGCTGGTAGCTTCCACTCTACAAGTAAGCTCATTGTGAGTATGATGTATCAGAGGGAGGAGTTCAAGTGAGCTCTTGTATATTGAATCCATCAAAAAACAAGATTATGCCCTTTCACTCCAGAGTTCAACTGTAACCTAAGTACATGTTAACAATTTTTACAGACACCCCTTAAAGCAGGAGTAAAGTCATTAAAAAAAAAGAGATTTGTCCACTGCAAGTTAATGACATAATGTGCTAGTATGCATCACATAGTAACACATTATGAAAGACTTACCTGTGAAATGGAGCCTTCCAGCAGTGCTCTGTCACTGATGACAGGGCTTTCATCTTCACCTGGTCCTCCTTACGGGTTCGTAGGCACCAACTATTTGAATGGTGGAGCCGCCATGACGCCACTCCTGCACATGAGCACAATAGTCACGGCCGTGGCACAGCATTCTCAATGAATGGCATACTCGAAAGCACTATCCATTCAGAGCACAGTGCGCATGTGCCAGTGATGTCATCAGCTGCTGCAGATGTAAATATCTCCTAAAGGAGATAGTCACTGTATCAACAGATAAGCTTTATTACAGGCTTACCTATAGCTACAACTGAAAAGGCAGACTTTACTTCCACTTAAAGTGTATGTAGGAGAAAATATTTCTTCTTTGTTTTGGATAGCGAATGGAAGGGTTAGAGCCATTTGCCAAGTTTGTATTGCTATCTGTGTTCCCATTTGGGAAAATTCATTCCTCTAATTGTCCTGTTACCACTGTCGTGGAGACGAAAAATGAGGGAAAATCCAAAACTTCTGAGTTGTCATCAAAGCAATAATTGAGTGAACATTCACCAACGATGACACCTGTTCCCGTGACAGCTCAATAAGATGGGAATTCCATTCATTTGGAGTGGAGAGATTTCTTCTCATTTCCTGTTGCGCTTTCAGGACAGGAAGTTCATGTATATCTCAAATGGACAGCACACAAGTAATTTCAAAGGGGTTTTAACCTTTCCCTACTCTATATAAAACTAAATAAAGGTTTGGGACTATAAGACCCCTATGAAGTAGCCGCCCTACTAGCAAAATTCAGCAAGCTAATTAGCACAGAAAATAGCAGGATAAGAACATCCAATACATTTTTACATATCTAGAGATGCTCAGAGCATGAAAGCTAAAAGATTATTAAAATGCATGCAAGCATGTTCATTTTATTTTATTATTTATTTACCGTATTTTAGGTATTTATTGAACATAAATATATCCATTCAGTTAGCACATACTGTAGATTAACTCTGCTGTTGCCCCAAGGCTACCATGAATGCAGTGAGGTGGCATCTAAGGCTACTTCTTGTCTGGTACCCTAATCACAATTCACTTGCTATAAAATGGATTAGCTGCAGTAGTTCATTAGAAATGCAGAACATTTTACATCAAACCTAATAACCAGAATTTTATACAGCAAGTAATAGAATTGTTTACCATACGTCAGTCAAATTTCTGTTCAATAGAGTAACAATAACTATTCATTCAATGCAAAGCATTAAAAATTAGCAATAAAAAAAGCAACACAGGACCACACATTGTAGTATGGATTTATAATAATTCATGATTTACAACGGGGGTCAGCAACCCATTGATCATGATCTACCAGTAGACCGTGGCCAGGTGACTGGTGGATTGCTTCCTTGGCTTGTCGACCTGCCCTCTGCAAAACCTCAAACACAGCGGAGCCCTTATATCAAGCAGTGGGACTATTTTTTAACTCAGAGTGAGGCTGACCATGGAGAGAGCAGGTGGTCGTATCAGCCAATACAGCTTTTATAGTTCCCAGTGGAGCGATATCAACTGCACTCTGCCTCTCTCCCTGCTTAGGAGGACCAGAGCAGCACCAGGGGTGCTCAGGACAGTAAGGACTCATTTACACTTGCAGTTTGTGGAGCAATAAAATCTCACAGTTGAGCCGTGTTTTTACCACCCTCACAAACCCCCCCCCCCACCCCCTTTAGCTGCAGTGACCATGGATGTGAAGATTGACTCCAGGACATTCTGATGTTTCTGGAAGTTGAGGAGCTCCCTGGATTGAAATGAAGATATATTTATCCAATCCAATCATCTGTCCTCCATCTTTAACCAAAGAAGTAAATTTCTTTTATTACTATACTACTATCATGTGTTGTTTAAATTAATGCATTACACCCACAAATCTGAAAGGGTAAGCATATGAACCTTTCAATAAGTAAATAAATAAATGTAACAAGGAAATTACCCCTTTGTTACACAGATTTATGTCTCAGTTCTTGTATTTGCCTCTCCATTGAATCAGTATTGAAATGTGAAGAAATCCGTTCCTTGTTTCCAAATTCTCTGCTCCTCCCTTGATGGAAGCCTGATTTGTGGAATTGAACCATAAACTCGTTTGTTGCTGCTCCATGTTGAGTGAGCATGCCTGAGGGAGCAGCATTTCAGAAGGAAGGCTCCCACCCAGGTTCCATCCCCTCTGTCTTTTCATTGGTCGCTAGGACGCAGCCTCCTCTTATTGCATTCCATAGTAACATAAAATATTCAAAAACAATTACTCTCACTCTCTCCCTCTCTCTCTCTCTCCCCACCTCTTTCATTTCATAAGTGCTAGGACACATGGGCTCCAACTGCATGATCCAATGCACCTAAGAACATCACTAGCAGTGTAATCATAGGTATCCACCTAGGACTCTCAAAATAAAAAAAAAATCTAAGTAGATTCTATACTTGAGTATATTCCTCCAACTATTGGGACACATAGCAAGCTAGGCTCTGAAGGTGGGTGGGTGAGTGGGGTTTAAATCCTCTCTGTCATGCTTCCTGTACAATTCAGGTGGGAAAAGCAATTTCTTAGTTATGGCCATCACAGAGAAGGAGGTGGCAACTAAAATCAGCAGTTACTGGAATTTCTGGGCATTCTCTGAGAACATATTGATACAGCAGTTGTACATGACAGACTAACAGTGTCAATTAAAATTAAGCAAAACCACAGAAAAAGAATACACAATAAAAATGAGTTCTAACTGAACTTGGCCCACCATCTGGCTCTCTAAACTATTTCAATTATTACTGAAACTATTATTCAATAAAGAACAGTAGACAAAGAATAACTATTTCATCCACATTCCCCAACCATCATGAATGCTTGACAAAAATATCAACTCCTATGCACGCTGACCCAGAATTATGCTTCACATTACCCATATTAAGGAAAATCTATACAGAGAAAAATATGGGGCTTCCATTCCTAAGATGGCAGAATGTCTGATCCGCATTCTTATTTCTGGTCAGGGTTCAATAAGTACAGCCACTGGATAGCATGACAGCCAGTCAACTAGTAATTTCTGAAGGAAATGTTATCAATAGTACCCTCCATATTCTCCAATTATAGGTCTCCTTTAGGAGGGCTCAGTATACGCAACAGAGCAGCAAAGTTGCTTCATATTCAGGCAACAGCTGAAGTATCTGTCTGCATCTGGCAATACAGCCCTATTCACTTATGCTCTACACCAGGGATGGGCAACTGTGGCCCTCCAGCTGTTGTAGAACTACAAGTCCCATGAGGCATTGCAAAAGTGACAGTTACAAGCATGACTCCTAAAGGCAGAGGCATGATGGGACTTGTAGTTCACCAACAGCTGAAGGGCCACAGTTGCCCACCCCTGCTCTACACCCATTGTGAGGAATACATGACACAAATGCTCACCTGGATCTTTTCATTAATGTACGGAGGTACTTCTGTGCATTACACTTGTTTGTAGCCCTGCAGTATTAACAGAAATCTGGGGTGGAGCGCTTTGTATTAATAAAAGAATTAAATCCACACATCAAAATGATACTGCTATCCAAAAGAAAAAGAAAAAAAAAAAAAGATCTACTACGATAGATGATCTGGATGTTTTGTGAAAGCAACAAAAAATGTTGTAGCATTTAAGATTTTGCAGTGCACCAATCTACAGCATTGGCTCTACAAAACATGTCACCTAAGGTGACCTGATGTGACTGTCTTTTGATTCAATGAAGGGGTCCTCTTTGGAATGTGGCCCAAACCAACCGCTTCGCATGCTTTGCCCTCAAGCTAGCCTTCTCAGTATGTCACGTTTAAATGTCTGTGTCCCTCTTTGTACAGAGAAATATATTGCTGTAAATAACATGTAGCCAATTATCATAGCACCCTTTTCCTATTAACTTCACTGTTGTAACCATCTGAATCTTATTGCAACTAATCAGATTGTGTCAGGTTTTCAGGACATGTCAGCAAAATAAATGTTTACAGTTTGTAACGCTGCATTCCTGGCCTAGAGGCACCACATTTTTACAAAGTGCAGTAATATAACAACCAATCAGAATTCATCTTATATTAATCTGACTAGGAAACTTAAAGCTTAAATCTGGGCTGGAAAAAATTCAAAGTGGAGGACTGCAGGGAAGTACAAGAATAAGCAGTAATACCTACCTTATTACTGGTTCTAGCACGCCTCCCATTGACCAGTCCAGTGTGGGCCACCTCTACAAGGTGCATTCAGCTGCGGTTGCATGTTTGCCTCCTTCACATACAGGGCAGGGTTAATAGCTCTGCAGTATATGTGATGACACTTAGGGACTGCCCACAGTCCAGAAAGTAGAGAGAAAAGGACAGTAAGTAATACAGCCTCTTCCAGTACCCCCTAGAACACAGATGTCAAACTGGCGGCCCTTCAGCTTTTGCCAAACTACAAGTCCCATGATTCATTGCAAGATTGACAGTTACAAGCATGACTCCCAAAGGCAGAGGCATGATGGGACTTGTAGTTTCACAACAGCTGGAGGGATGCCAGTTTGACAGCCCTGCCCTAGAAATAACCAGAATTTAACCCTTGCAGTGCAGGTCAGTGGGCACCTTTGCAATAGTATGTTCTTTTTATAATCACAAAGTTCAGCTTTAAAGTAGAAGGAAAGGCAATACAATCCCACCTTTTAAATGTTGCCTTCTCACTGCTTTTATATATTTCCTATATACAGTTACTATTTGTCTGTTTGTTAGGTGGGCATAAATTCTTTTAGGGCCAACAGTACCTTAGAACAGTGGCAGTCACTGTTCTTATGTGAGGTGCCTCAAGTGGGGCCCTTCACATCACCAATAAAATTCAGTGAATATTCAGTGTCATAGACAGCAGATACACAAAGTATATAAGAAAAGACTATGAGCATGACACAAAAGATGGGTCAGAGACTACAGACAAGGTATAGGAGATGCTCTGAGACTGTGGATATAACACAAAAAATGGTCAGAGATTGCAGACATGATACACGGGATGGTCAGAGACTGCAGACATGACACAAGGGATGGTCAGAAACTGCAGACATGATACCCAGAATGGTCAGAGACTGCAGACATGATACACAGGATGGTCAGAGACAGCAGACATGATACGCGGGATGGTCAGAGACTGCAGACATGATACTGCAGAGACATGATACGCGGGATGGTCAGAGACTGCAGACATGACATAAGGGATGGTCAGAGATTGCAGACATGATACAAGAGATGGTCAGAGACTGCCGATATGATACAAGAGATGGGTAAAAACTGCAAACCTGATACAAGAGATGGTTAGAGACTGCAGACATGATACAAGACATGGTAAAAAATTGTGGACATTTTACAAGACATGATACAAGAGATGGTCAGAGACTGCAGACATGATACAAGAGATGGTCAAAAATTGTGGATATTTTACAAAACATGATACAAAAGATGGTCAAAAATTGTGGACATTTTACAAGAGATGGTCAGAGACTGCAAACATAATACAAGAGATGATCAGAAACTGAGGACATGATGGCAGACTGAGGACATGCCCCAGGAGACAGTCAGAGACTGGAGACATATTACATGAGACTGCTGGAAATGACTGCTATAATAGGGTATAATGGGAAACACAGATTAGTGTCTGCAGGAGACTTGAGGGCCACAAAAAGGTGCCAAAGGGCCACATGCAGCCCCTGACCACAGATTGGGCATCAGGGTCCCATGGACACTGGTACGATGACATCACCACTCTGCAGTGACATTGTAGGCCATGCACAGACAGACACACTCACCAGAGTTTTGTGGTCATGTGACTTCTTAGATAAATGAGTTTTCATTGAGATTTAATAGTAGCTGTAAGTAGAAAATACAAGATCGCTGGAGAAGCAACATTTAAAGCTGAACTATAAGCAGATATAAAAAATACAAACTAATTCAGCCATGTAATTGTTATCCTCTTGCTGACCACATCACACATATGTGACAATAAGAGCTGATTCACACATGTGCGGTGTGGATTGAAGCTAATTGACACAGTTCAGCGGTTCAGGTCAGGTTTACATCAAGTTCAGGACAGGTTCAGGTCAGGGTTTTATCCTGTTCACACATGTACAGTTTAGAAACAGTTCCTATAAATGTCAGTAGCCTGCAGTCCACACCTGAACTGGACTGCACTGCTCAGAAATCATACAGCACTCTTTTTCAAGCCATACTGAATCTGCAGTGCCACTGCATCCGACATATGTGAACAGGCACCATAGAAAGCAATATTATTTCACACATCATGCAAATTGGATGTGGTTCAAACAGCATCCAATCTGCAGATATGTGAACCAGCACTAAGGGTGAGCCTTAATGCCAACGCACTGCCCATTCATGGGGGCCCCAAGTATCTGCGCCGATACTGAACGTTCCCAGCATAGTGCCTCAGCTGTTACAGAAAGCTCTGCACCTCTCTGATTATAACTGGAAGCTGGATGCATGGCTGTCAACCATATGACCACTGTGACAGCCAATCACAGCGACCACTTGATATGTTTATCCTGCCTCCCAGCATTAAGACCCATTAAAAGGGCTGGGGGGAAGGGGGTGAGAAGGGGTTAATGGAAACATAAGAAGTATACCTATCTGAATTTGACCTGCTATCAGTCTCTTGCAGTCCCTGTGCAGCAAGGCGTGTGAGAAGAAGAAGTAGCAAAAGACACCAATCAGTTCATGTGCTGACAAGAAACATGATGATAGAAGGGAAAACCAGAGTGACGGAAGGATCAGCTCATCACTGTGCTGCTTCTCCTTTCACTATCCATTCACAAGCTGGAGCGGATCCCAGACAGCCTGGGCTCAGAGGAAGTGGGTAGAATGAAGCTGGACACCAAACCTGAGGACATCTAGTGGCAGAAAATAATTACTGTGGGGAACAGTTTTGGACTTTAGGTAAATAATTTATCAAAAGCTGCTATTTCATCTTATCTTTTAATGGGCTTTTCATTTTTATCTTATTATTTGTGGCTGACGTTCTGCTTTAAAGGGTGGGTGACTACAGTGCCTTCCTTACAGGGTATTATAGATGATCTCACCCTGCACAGCCTCACTATATTATCAACTATGATTTTAAAAACCTATTTCTTACAAAAATATACTCAAAAGAGACAAGACACTTTAAAAATATGACGATCGATCATCAATAGGTGAGATGAGTCCTAATTTCCATGTGCCAAGAAGAAGAACATAATAAGTGAAGGTAAGATGATGTCATCTGATCATATTTTGCACGCTGCATATGCCTTTAAGCTGCCACACCCACTCCTGATCCATGAACATTTATGCTGCATTTCACATGTGACCATTTTCTCCATGACAGAACAGTTTACTATTAATCGGCATTCTCAGCGTTTTTACTCGCTGCACAGGAGGAGAACACTTGAGACTCTGTACGCTCCTACATCATAGTCCTTTACAGGTTAACACACACATCCAGCTGTAAATACCTTCATCATAGAAATAGAACAGACAGTGATCCTAATATTATTTGTTTATGTCAGTAGTCATCATAATATTATTTGGTCAGTAGTCATCATAATATTATTTGGTAGTGGTCATATTCTTCTTTGTTTATGTTCACAGATCTGATGTGCAGTGCAGACATTTTCCAACATCTGTTTCCCCAGAACAGCTTCCATTGCTTACAAAATAATAATACAGCACGGAAGTCATTTCTTATAGCAACTCACTTGTTGCTATAGGTAGCAGCAACTCTTTTCCATTCTCTACATCAGGGGAAGGCCACCTTGGCACTCCAGCTGTCGTGGAACTACAAGGCCCATGAGGCACTGCAAGGCTCTGACAGCCACAGGCATGACTCCCAGAGGCAAAGGCATGATGGTATTTGTAGTTGCACTACAGCTGGAGTGATGAGGTTGCCTATCCCTGCTCTAAATGTTGGGACTTTGGACACAAATCTATAGTTAAATATACAATATTGTTAAAACTCAAATCCTGTTCTCTTCTTGATCTCCCACAGGCCTAGCTGGCCACTAGAATTACCCTGCTTCAATTTTTAGCTGCTCTGACACCCCACTGACATTAATGCACAGAACCATGATGGGGTATAATACATTAGGAATGCAAGTAAATCCCCCCCCCCCAAAAAAAAGAAGAGCTTATTTCCTCTATAGACATTGGAATAACAGTTTTCACATCATCACTGATCTGCAATCATCTAGTCACTACCACACAGTTTTTCAGGTTTGTATCTCTATGGCTAATAAGAACAGAAGAAAAAAAAAAAAATAAAAGCACATTGGGGGTTATTTACTAAAACTGGAGAGTGCAAGATCTGGTGCAGCTCTGCATAGAAACCAATCAGCTTCCAGGTTTTATTGCCAAAGATTAACTGAACAAGCTGAAGTTAGAAGCTGATTGGCTACCGTAGAGAGCTGCACCAGATTCTGAGTGCATCATTTTTAGTAAATATCCCCATTGTGTCTATAGACAGTGTTGACTTACTGGGCGAGATCTAAGCAGAAAAATAGAAAAGCAAAACCTTATGTAGTAATCATATGTAGGAAATGCAAGGCCTGTATGTTATAAGAAAGCAGGATGTTCTCCTTTATAGCTAATATAAGAACAACAGGTAGATACTATGTCATTGATTTTTTTGGGGGGAATACAAAAATGATTAGGCTATAGGGTATATCACCCTGGATAGGATATAACTATAGCTAGTTGTCAGTAGCCAGAAAAATAAATTTTATATATATATATATATATATATATATATATATGGATATATCTTCAGTGATGAAAGTTGTGAATGTTGGGATAACATGGCAGCATGATGAAAACAGTTGGATATTTTCCACCAGCAGCAGCAGCAGTGGCAGCGATAGCAGCAGCAGAAAAGACAACCACACCCCATGCTCTCTGGACCAGCAAGTCAGGAAGAAGTCAGCGTTGCACTTCCCTTCAATCACAGCCATTATCCAGAAACATCATTGTGTAACATTAGGAAAATGATGAGCCCTCCCTAAAGCCTGGATGTTGTCGCCTGTAGACAGGGGGGGGGGGGGGTAAACAAATCCATCAGCATTCACCTCCCATCCCACATCTCCAGCCATGATTTCCTCCTTGCACTGCCATCCCAGGCATGCCTATGTGTAGAGCAGTAAGCATCAGCTGAAGCATGAATGAAAACAGCTGTATGGATGCAGTAGGAGGATGTGGACAGCAGCACTGTGTTTTCCAATAGCAGGGCTGGGATGGCTAGGCCTGGAGGGCTGGGGGCTGTGTAGAGAAAACAGGACAGGCTTGGTGCAGGCCATACTGCCATGTACATTAGTGGGGATCAGTGGGGCACCACATTGGATGGGGGAGAGTGCCCCCCTTCCCTTGATAGGCACAGCCATGGATCAGAGACCTGCTACCTGTCAATGGGGGAAATGGCAGCATGTACAGAATGGATCATCAGACAACATCATCATTGTCATTCAGTAAACATTGCACACCTGGGGAGGGGGGGGGGGTCTGCAATCCACCTTGGC